TAGCAGCACTCCTCACCACAGGAACTCAGCTGTTGTTTGTTACCTGGTGCAAGGCTTCTCACCCTTCCAACAGCTTGCAGTTTGGTGAAATCACTCGCTAAAGACCACCTGTCTCATTCAGGCACCGGGGAAGTGGCACTACTGCTGACAATAAACATCTTGCTGTGGAAGCAAGATTGCGGAAAGATAAACTGGAATTTTTGACTGACAGACACTCCACTTTACAAACTATAACAGCTTCACCAAACTTTCACAAAATGAAAGTCTTCTGCATGTTCCCTAGAAATTTGTGGGGCTTTTCCCCAAAGCTGGGTCACCAATTTTGAGGTTACTCTCTCGAGGGCTGAGTGGAAGGACTCTGTATCCTCCATCAGCAGCTCAGGAAGTTCCACTGACTCCTGTTTGTGGGAAATCAGAGGGGAGATGGAACAGAGAGAACAGCAGAACAAGATATAACAGCCTTGGTGGGCTACAAGCCCTGGAACAGGAACTTGCTGATATGACAAGGCACAGCACATTCAGCTAAGAGAGGTTTCTGAAATTGTGGATTTGTAAGGCTGTCCAGGAATGCAAACAATAGACTTTCAGTAGTGTGAAACTTTTGTAGAAGCTGTAGCCCTGGAACTGTAACAGTAGAAAAATGTGCTGCATGAAGAATACTGCAACTCCAGATTTCTATAAGCCTGTTCTTCTATGCTTGAGATGCTGTGCCTTCAATAAACAACTCCAGCTCCTGCTCAGGCTTTGGCTTTTTGCTTGGATTACTTTTTGCTCTCCTTTTTCCAGAGTCCTGTCTTTCAGTCCCAGCACCTGTTCTCTACTGTGTCTTTGCTAGCTTTAATCCAGGTACCTTAATGTGGTGCAGTTTTATGTAATCTCCCAGTACTTGTCTTGTTTTAAATTGTGTAGTAACTGTTCAAGGCCTTTTGTCTATTACCGCCTGTCTGTTCAATAAATAACACATTTTATAATCATTTAATAATTCTATAATTATAATAATTTTAATAATTTTGTAGCCCTAATCAGCCAGCCTTAAGAACTTGTGAGCCAGAGAGGTTGAGGTGCAGGTCATGTAAGCAGAGCTGCTGCCAAGAATCGGAGCCTAAGGCAGGGTTTATCTAAATCTGTCACTCGATCCGTAACGCCCGGGCATCCACAGTTCCAGTCCTGCCGGGACACAATCCCTTCTTCTCCACTTGTTTTTATGTCACTCTTCAACTTTCAAATTAAGCACTGCTGGGATGAAGCAGAGTTGAACCTGGCATTTATGAGCCATGAAGGTTTCAGGCAGCACAGCCTCTGCAGACTGTTGTGCTGCCTCATTCCGTGGCATCAGACCGGGATTGCTGAGAGCTGAGCAGGCTCAGCTGCTGGGCTGGCAGCACAGCGTGCGCTGTCCAGGCTTGAAATGAAATGGGCAGGGGGTAGTGGTTTTAAAACTGCTTTAAGTTTCTTTTGGACAGCAGGAGAAATCACAGAGAGATGGAGCCATTTTTCGTCCCTGCTCTGTTTTTCTTGGGTTGTAGCAAAAAAAAGAGGTTTGAAGAGAAGGAAGGGAAGAGAGCATGGAGGGTTTTCAAGGCTTTGTGTACATCTGGGATGATGATCTTTGTCATCAGCTGTCAGTAATGGATGGCTTTGGGCAAGGAGCCAGAGAGGAATTTGAGGTCCAGCTTTTCTTTCCACAAACCTTAAATATTAATCACCTACAGGAATAAAGGACTTTAAGTCTTAAAAAACCCCCAATTTATCTCCCCCAGAAATCCTGGACTGGAGGATGGGTGGTTTTACTTCCACTCAGCAAAAAAGTTTGGGGTTTGGGGCAGCTTTGGGTAGTTCCACATCACTGGCTGGTGGCAAATCATCTACAATACAGCAGAGGCACCAACATTTCCTTTTTTCCCCATTAATGGGAAGAGAAGAGGAAGAGAGGTGCACAAAAGAGCCAGAGTTCAATAGCCAATGCATTGCCATTTGGGAAAAAAGAATCAGCAGATTCTTGAGTTCCTCCCTGGGGTTTTTGGATTCTGAACTAATCGAGCAGCAGAACAGAGATTGCAGGGACAGAGTGGAACCACTGAGATCTTGCCAAAGGCCTAAGGTGGGGGGAGATTTTCTAATGAGGTGATGGCAGCTGCTGTTGAGTTTTCTGCCTGGTGATGAGGCTGCTGCAGCCAGGTGTCAACAGGAGGGAGCTGGGCTGAGCTCCTCGTGTTCCCCACTGCAGGACGGCTGTGAACAGCAACACCTCCCCAGACTGTGCCAGCTCCCTTGGCCAGCTCCCTTGGCCACGACTGTGGGACACCATCAGCACCCTATGGAAGCTCTGGGGTGAGGTTGATGATGTCTTACAGGCACCTCTTCTTCTGGGTGACTCCAGAGACTCAGTGACAAACTTGGATTTGGGATCTGCACTAGAGATGTCTCAGAAGAGAGAAATCTTCCCCACAAACAAAGAGCAAGACCTCAGGGCTCAAAGTGCACGGAAATTGGATGTTTTTCACCGACTTGTAGGGTTAGGACAAGGGGGAATGGCTCCCCACCGCCAGAGGGCAGGAACGGATGGGATATTGGGAAGAAATTCTTCCCTGTGAAGGTGCAAGGCACAGGTGCCCTGAGCAGCTGTGGCTGCCCCTGGGTCCCTGGCAGTGTCCAAGGCCAGGCTTGGAGCAACCTGGGATAGTGGAAGGTGTCCCTGCCAGAAATCATTTCCACTTTCCCTTAAGAAAAAACCTCACAAAGTAACTTGAACATTTTTCATGTCAGAGCTAATTCTGCAGCTTTTCCCTTTGGCAAACACCCACTGTTTCTGCAGAAATTCAGTGTTAATAACTGAAGCAAGATGTCTCCATCCCTATCAGCATTTTAGCACTGTTTGCTTGGAGATAACGTGTGGTAAATTGTTGTTCCTGATTTCAACATCTCCTTGCCACAGCTGCAGGATTTTCCTGTGCTGTGTCTGCAGTCCCAGCGTGGTGGGGACTGTGGGTCCTGCTGCAGGTCTCTCCTCCACAGCTGCCGTGCTGTCCCAGGCTCTGGTCTGTCACAGAAACATGGAATGGGCTGGGCTGGAAGGGACTTCAAAGAGCATCCAACCCCTGCCATGGGACACCTGCCACTAGAGCAGCCTGCTCCAAGCCCTGTCCCTGCTGTCCTGGGGGCTGCACTGGTTGTAAGAACTTTTCTCTGGGAATGTGGAAATGTCTCTTCCTGGGCTTGTTCCTGGGTGTTTGGTGTCTGTGGCTGTAGGAGGGAGTGGTGCTCAGTTTAACTGTGGGCTCAGTCAGCACCCCCAAAACCATACCCAGACCCAGAGATGGGGTAGAAGTGAGGGTCAGCCACAGCTTCTTCCAACTATTCGTGCTTCTCCTGCTCCAGAATTTCCTCACCTTAAATTCAGGATGATGTCCAGGCTTTCCTGGAGCCAGATGTTACCTCCCAGAGCAGGGCTGCTGCAGCCAGCTCTGGCCTGACCTGAGCCCCAGGTGCAGAGCCCAGGGGGTCCCACTGGGGAGTCCTGAGGGCTCCTGCAGCACCAGGAGCCCCTGGAGCCCAGCAGCTCCTGGGACCCCAGGGCTCTGTGGCCCTGGACTGGCCCCACCAGTTTCTGGGTGCCGATCTTGGCCGAGCAGCTGCTTGCCAAGAGCCAGGGAAAATCCCTCAGACCCAAGGCTTTCAGAGCATGGTTCAGGTTCAGCTGGCTGGAAATGTCACAGGAATTGTCCTTTGAGTCAGAAAAACCCCAGCCTGGGCATTGTTGGGAGGGAAAAGGCTTTGAGGAGAGTCCAAGTCCATCCCCAACTCCCAGGTTCTGCTCCTCCTCTGCATCCTCAGCTGCCCCAAGCACACATGGAGGTGAAGATGATTTCTGGGAGGAAAAATTGTAACATTTATGTGTTCAGCCTTGAACTCTCTTTAAGAACTGACTTGAATTTCACTCATTATTTTAATATAAATTTTATATACATTTATTTTCTAGGGTTTTTTTCCCTTACCCAGAATTGGTAAGAAAACATTCCATTTGCCTCTAATACTTTTTCCTGTGATTTGTTTTACTTTTTTAAGTTGCCAAAAACAGCTCACAGATGTTCACAGCATGAACAGAAGTCTGCCTGGCTGGCATTTGGCATCACCCACCCTTCTCCTCTATCTCGCTTCCTCTTGTGCCCAGCACAGGGGTGCAGCACCAGCCTTTCCCAGTTTTTTTCCACTCAGTGGATCATCCTGGCCTCAGTGGCTCCACAGGCCCCTAAATGCAGGTGCAATTATTCCCATCCCTGCTGTATCTTGCAGTGCCTCCCTCTCCCTGTGCTGGCACCAGCTTTGAGCCAAACCTGCCCCAAATTTCTCCCAAACCTTTGCATGTTTCACCCCCACAGGCAACACAAAGAGCCCCAGGACCTGTGTGGGGACTGTGTCTCCCTCCCAGGTGGCACTGACGCCTCTCCATCTCAGAAGAGCTGTTTGTCACCTGTCACCCCTCCTTTCTGGGACACACCGGACTGGAGCTGGGTTTGGAGCTGAGAGGAGCCCCCAGAGGTGTCTGCAGCTTCCTCCCAAGGGACAGCTCTGATCTCTGCTCTCTGGGACCACACCAGGAGCTCCAGCTGAGCTGGCAGGGCAGGATTAGGTTGGATTTTGGGAAAGGTTCTCCCCAGAGGTGCTGGCACTGCCCAGGCTCCCCAGGGAATGGGCACGGCCCCGAGGCTGCCGCAGCTCCAGGAGCCTTTGGACAGCGCTCCAGGGATGCCTGGGGGAGTTGTTGTGGGGTCTGGGCGGGGACAAGGGGTGGATTTGATGACCCCTGTGGGTCCCTTCCAGCTGAGGATATTCTGTGGCTCTGATTCCATCCAAGCTCATCTGAGCTCCACCACTCTTCCAACCCGCACACAACATGCCGCGGGCTCTTGCAGCTGCCTCGAGCGCGGGAGCAGTGAGCTGAGCACCATCCTGGGCGTGCTGGCAGGGACAAGCTGGCATGGCAGGCAGGAGTGAGGGGGTCAGGAAAATGCGTGTGTGCTTTATTCATGGATATGTTTGAGTACTGACACGTACAGAAAAGGTAAGTACAAGTTTGACCCCAGTTTGGGCTGGCACCCACCACCCTCCCCTCGAGCAGGTGAACACATGAGGCTCCTGCTCCAGCACCATCTCCCAGCCCTGGGTCTCCCTCCCAGCTCCTGCTCCAGCCTGGACTATGCTGGACATGATGACATGACGAGAATAAGTACATACACAATATTTCACAGGCTCTCAGGGCTGCCAGCCACTGGGAGTGGTGCTGGGCAGCCAAAAAAAATAGAGTTCAGTGGCTTCAGAAAGTCTGGCTGGTTCTTTAATTGTGGGGGTTTTTTTCCTTTCTTTTTCCTATGATTCTTCTTTGTGCTTATGGAAGTCCTCAGGAATGGAGTAATTCCTAAAAAAATTGTCTCCCTTTCTGTCTCTTGGCTCGCTCAGTCTTTTGCCTTTACAAGCAGCTGCTACAACTTCTGTGGTTAATCAAGAGACTTAAAAATGAAGATCCATGGTTCACTTAACAGAATTCAGCAGAGATGGAATTTCATCCAAAAAAATTAGTGACTTTTCACAAGGAAAAAGGAGTGGTCTGGGCACATGCTGGTGGGTGGAAGGAGAGTAATCATGTTTGCTTCCTCCAAAAGAAAGGATCAAAAGTCATCCTTTTTTGCAAAGTTTGATTCATGAACAGGCTTGGAGAGAGAATCAACATTAAATATTGATGGAATGAGTGAAATAATCAGAACAAAGCCATGAAAGTTTAGGGAAAACTTTTTTTTGTAATTCCCACCCCCCAACTCTTTCCGGCTGGGTGAGAGGCTCCTCGCTCTGTGCCTCATTCACTTCATTCTGGAGCATCTGTGAACTCTGAGGAACCCCCAGAAGGGCAGGAGCTGGCCTGAGACAGGGCTTGGAGGGCAGAACATGGGAACTGAGGATCTTGTTGGGCTGTGATGCACAGAGACAACGACAATCTGCAGAGCCTTTAAAGCCAGATACCCTTGGAAGTGCCCAGTGCCAGGCTGGATGGAGCTGGGGAAAACCTGGTCTTGTGGAAGGTGTCCCTGCTCATGGCAGGGGGCCTGGAATGAGTTGTGCTTTAAGGTCCCACCTGACCCATTTCACGATTCTCTGATATAAATCTCTCACTGAAATTGTAAATTAATTTAATTTCTCACTGAAATTAAAGTAGGTACTGATGGGGGACATGGTGCTGGCACTAGGTTACCTCTGTAGGTCTCCTCCATCCCATCCCCTCCTTGAGCAGGATTCTCCTCTTTTTACAGCACACCAGTCTGAAGGGAGGGGTGAGCTGGGGCCACCAGGCATCCTGACCACCCAGAAAAAACCTTTCTCTGCTGAATGAGAAGGAAAAGTGGCACTTCAACATCACTGACACTGACACACGAGAGACACAGGAGTGTGTGCTCCTGGAAAGCAGCTGACACCTGTGCCCCCATCCTTTGCAGACACTCAGCCTGTGCACAGCTGAAAGCTGATGGAGACTGCTTTGATGGGGCCAGATGTGTGGCAAAGCAGAGAATGACTACAGGACTAAGGAAAAGGGCAGAGGAATGCAATTCCCAGCATGACCTCGTGGTGTTGAGGTAGTTCCTTGCCTTTGAAGAGATCAGCAATCAGGGTTTCATCCCTCTCCCACCTGCAGCTCCATGAACACAAGCTCTGCAGGGTTGCAGGTTGGAGCTGTGTCACTTGGTCTCTCAGGAGACACTGATGTCCAGGATAAAGGGGAGATGTTCACAGCAACTCTGTGCACGTATGGGGTCATTTTGAAAGGACTTTCCTGCCTGTAGCTCTCCCTCCTTGTCTGCTTTCCTGACCAGAGTGAGCCCCTTGGCCATGGAGTTCTCACATACAACTTTCAGCTCAGGGTGTGACCTGTGACCCTGCACACAAGCCTGGGAACTCGGTGTGTTCCTCTGCACAGCCTCAGAGTAGGAAAAGAGGGGAGGACCTCAAGGAGCAGCACTTTGGGCAGGATGCAGCAGGAGGATTTCTGTTCAGGTCAGACACAACCACAGGTGTTCAGCTGAAAACCAGAGTGGTTTCTTGTTGGAACAAAAGCCAAGGAAGTTGCTGCAGTTTCTCAGAAAATCTGAAGCAATAAGCAATGGGAGAGGATTTGCAGGAAATGGGAATAAAAAGCAATGGACTTTGCTGTGTCAGATGCTTCCTCCACCTTTCCATGCATTCGAATGCCAAGGGATTCATGATATTTATTGGAGGAGCACAAACCAAGGAATAAATGGATTGCTGCAAAGGCCAGGCCTAAATACACTCAAGGGGATTCTGGGGCTATTGCTCTTCCTCCCATGGCACTCAACCCTGGTAAGCCTTTATCCTGGGAAACCTTCTCACTCTTCCTTACCATCTTCTTTCCTGGCTTAACCTAGTAGAGGGTTCAGCCCCCCAAAAGGGCACTGGGATTCCTCAGCTCACCTCCTAGAGGAAAGGCCCTGGGATGCTCAGGTAATCCAAGGTCACACACCTGCCTCCCTGTGCCCCAAGACACTGGAGAGACATTCATCCTACCCTTCCTCCCTTGGGCTCTGGCTGCAGCTCAGGAGAAAGCGTCACTTCAGCAGCCTTTGCTTAAATGACATCTTCAATGCAAGAGTAAAACCTGGCAAGAGGCAAAGCCCTTCCCCTGCTCACCTGGACACAGGGGGTTGCCTCTGCCTGTTCTTCACAGAGGGGAAACTGTAGCAGTCCGGTCCCTACCATGATGTAATTAATTGGCCTTTCTTGGCTGGGTGTTTCTGTCTTGGGGTGGAATCTAGCAAACCTCTCCTATCCTCTCTCTTCCCAGGAAAATTTCCCAATGAAATCCCCTGGCTGGAGACCTGTGCCTATGAAACCAGTGGATGAACAGGTAGCATGTGAGAGTGGGATATGTTGGGCTGACATCAAATCCTGCCCATGGGCTCACACATCGGCCCCTGATGGTGAAAGGGCAGCCTGGAGTGTGGCAACATTGGCCTCTGGTTGTTTGGATGTGACAAAAATGCCCCAAACACTGTACAGGAGCAGTGCATGGAGATGTTTGGGTTGAGACACAAAAAATTCAGCCATAAACAAAATGCAACACACGAGTTTCTTCCTGAATACCACCAATACAGGACACAGGTTTCCCTAAAAAGGAGGGACAGGTGACAGGTGGGACACGGATGCTGGTTGCACTTTGGCCATGGTTTTGGGAGGATGGATAATCCCTGCCAGCCAGTTCAGAGTGTGGTTACTTGGTCCTCTGCAGAGGTGCTTCAGATTCCTCTCCAGTGAACAATACCAACCTTCTCACCAGTCGTCTGGTTTCTTCAGTCTGAAGGAACCAGGTGCGCTGTCCTTCAGGTCCTGGGCAACCCTGGAGACAGTCTGAACTCCACATCACTTGACATGTCCTCTCAAGAGCCCCTCAATGTGGGCTTTAGGAAACCTCCTGACAGGTCATCCATTCATCCTTCCATCAAAAGTCTTTCCCCTCTTGGCTGGGGCAGGAAAAAGCATTTCCTTTGCAGCTCTCATTTCTTGGATCAACTCTCTCCATCTTTTCCAAGGGAATTGTCCATGGCTCCAGCCCTATCCACAGAGAGCTGGAGAAACAACAACCAGGCTGTGTGTGGAAAGGTGGCCAGGACCAAGAATGAGCTGGTTGTCAACAATGCTGATCATATAAAATCAAATAAACTGGCAGACAGATGAGGAGGAGGAAGGGATGCCCAAACACTCACCTTGCCTTCCCATCCCCTCCCTTCTCCCTGCTCTCCTGAAAAAGTTACTGGTCTGGTTGTTGAGTAAAGAAACCAACACAAATCGAGTCTCTGCCTGGTGTGTGCCAGCCCTGCCTCACATCACAGGGAGGCTCAGCACAGCAGGAGCGAGGAGAAGCCACATCTGCAGCAGAGAGGCCACCCAGCAGGAAGGGGCTGCTGGGCTGGAGGTCCCTGAGGACAAACGAGTGGAGCCATGCAGGAGCCTCTCCTCTCCAGCCACCTGCAAGAGAAAGGAGACGGTGTGGGGTGAGAGGTGTGGCTGATCATGGAATCATGAATGGTTTAGGTTGGAAGAGAACATAAATAAAGACCATCCAATTCCAACCCCTGCCATGGGCAGGGACACTTTCCACTATCCCAAGTTGCCCCAAGCCCTGTCCAACCTGGCCTGGAACAGCTTCCCAGGGCAGTCACAGCTTCCTGGGCACGCTGTGCCAGGGCCTCCTTACCCTCACAGACAAGATTTCTTCCCAATATCCCATCTAACACTGCCTCTGGCAGTGGGAAGCTACTCCCTTTGTCTTATCATTCCAGGCCCTCTTCCAAAGTCCCTCTCCAGCTGTCCTGGAGCCCCTTCAGGCACTGGAAGGACACAATTAGGTCACTCTGAAGCTTCTCTTCTCCAGGCTGAACAATCCCAATTCTCTGTTTTTCCTCACTGAGAGGGGCTCCATCTCTAACCAAACTGGTGTCCCTCCTTGGCACCTCAGAGGATTTGTGGCTTGGGGCTGTGCAGCCCCCAGTGTGTGCAGGTGCAGAGGGGCCAGGGCTGATTTCAGATCCCAAGCTCTGGCCTGGAGGTCAGCACAGCTCTTCAGGAGATGGTGGTGGTGGTGGTGTCCCAGCAGTCACTTGTTTGGACCCTGGCTGGAGGTGTCAGTGTGAGTGGAGGTGTCTGGATGCCCTCTCAGCTCAGTGGTGATCCGTGTGTCTCACAGAGCCGCTGCTGGCCAGTGCCTTGAGCCGGTGACCCTAAAGGTGGGTGTGGAATGTACTCCATGGTGCTGGGAGACATTTCACTAGCTCTCCCCCTCAGGTCCACAGGTGCCAACCTCATTAAACATGGAATGGGATCTGGATTTGAAGCTGAGTCCAAAGCCAAGACCCAAATCTCTGTTTTCTCTGGCAGTGCCAGCAGGGATCACACTCCAGCAGCACTCACACCTCAGCAGAGCGGTGTGCTGCTGCCACGAGGAGCTTGGAGATGTGGCAGGGCCACACTTTCCTGCAGCTGCTCTTTCCAGCTTCCCACTGTGCCAGTCACAGACGGTTCACAGCTTCTCCATCACTTACAGCATGAAGCTCTCAGCTCTAGGTCTGGACCTGAGGCCACTGCTTGGATTTCTCTGAGGTCTGGGGAGCACCAGCTTGAGGGAAATCCTCCAGATCTGTTGGGTGCCAAGCTTGTGGCCTGCTGGAGGTGTCCCTGTGCTCTGCAGCAGTGCCACCAGTGCCCTGGAGAGCAGTGAGGGAACCTGAGGCCACTTTTCTCCACCTCCCAACCCGCTGCTCTGTGAAAATAGGGTGGAGAGAGGTGAATCGGGTGTTTTCCCAGCAAAAGAAACAGTGATAAGCCTTAAAATAACCTGCATTTGGAAGCTTGTGAAGGTATCAGTCAGCCCAGCGCAAAGCCCACGCTCAGTCCTTGGAGTCTAGTTAAAACTGACAGCTTCTGTAACCTGAACGTTCAGCAAATCAGGGTCACTGTTAATTATTCAATAGTAAAATAATTGAATCTGAAAATTACGCTGGTGTGCCAAATCAAGGTCATTTTGTTTTATTTAAAAATAAAATATTTAATGCCTGTCATGGCCATCATCAGTAAATGAGCATGTTATTTGTTTTAAAATAACTTCAATTTAATATTATTTTGATAGTAATAATTTGCTGATGAACAGAACCTTTCCTTTCAAATTTTCCAATGCTTTGCAAACCTTAGTTAAACCCCTGCATTATGACCTCTAGAATCCTCAATTAGCAAGGGAGGAACTTGTGTCCTGGGAAGCTGAAATGTTTGTCTGCAGCTAAAGTGATGCTCTGAAGGGTGGTGAGGAGCCAAGGCAGCGTTCCTGGCTGAGAAACCCATGGATTTCGGGAAGGGAAGGTGCGGGAAGGGAAGGGAAGGTGCGGGAAGGGAAGGTGCGGGAAGGGAAGGGAAGGTGCGGGAAGGGAAGGGAAGGTGCGGGAAGGGAAGGGAAGGTGCGGGAAGGG